TACCGACTTCCACATATTACAGGAAGGTTATGGAAAAATAAATAGGATATATTATATTAAATACAGAAATATAAGGAAATACTATTTCTGGAACGAATTACGAAGAAATGTTGAGAAATAAGTGAAATGTGAAGAGATGCGACGACTGCCAAAGGCATAAGCACTAAATCATAAACAAGGAACTCATGGAAATGTACATGGATGAAAATGGAAACAGATATACTGACGTACAATGCGAATTAAGCAACTACGTAGAAGAATATGTAATAGAAAATGAAACAGTAGCCAAATCATTGGTAGAAAATTTATCTTGAGGTATGGAGTACCCAGAAAAATAATAGCAGACCAAGGCACAGATTTTATAGCTAGAATAATTAAGGAAGCAATATTTTGCTACAATTAGAGTCAATGGATATACTCGTAATATATACATGTACTTTTGAATGCAAATAATATAATATAGAGATTATTTTAAATGAATATAATGTGTAAATATAGTTTTAAGTTCGTACAAAATATATGTTTTTAAATGTGTATAGCAAAAAGAAAAATGTTAGACTGTACAGCAGGTAAACAAAATAAATAGGGATAAATGAATAAATAGATAAAATGACAAAACTTTATTGTGAGATGTCAAAGTGACTAATCGTGTATATGTGAAAACAAAACAATTACTTGGTACCAAGAATCATTACAAGAATTAATGCAAGCATTAATATAAGAATTATTATAAGATTTTATTATTATAAATTTATTTATTATGTAAAATATGTAAAGGTTATTGTAAAAATTATGTGCACATAAGAGGGGGTAATATAAGGTAATATAATCTAAATAATTTAACGTAAGGTAAGAAAAAACGTACGTAAAATATTGAACTAATATGCGAGTAAGGCATAATGAAGGATACCAGATAGCATATTACAAGGGAACAATTAGGGTAACCTTATAATATGCTGAGGTTAGGTTACTAAATTTTTACTAAATGTAAGGAAATATATACATACCATATATAAACAGTAGGTACTTATTTGAGGTTGCAAAATTTCTCTTTTTTCAAAGGGAAAGAGAGAGAGAGGAATGAGACAGTTGCAAAAGAGAAATTTTTTTCCGTAAGGGGGATGGTGTGGTGTTATTCCTTAAATATTAGAATTCACATATATAAAATATTATAATTCATACCCGTGTAACATTTAACATTCTGTTTATATAAATATATTTAGTAATTTGAATCGAGGACATTCATAAATAACACTCTAATTAGAATTGGTAGTCAGCACTATTGCCGATCACCACATGCTTGGCGTAGGTCATGAACACACTTGACATACTAATAAGTAAACCTTTGCTGATATAGCAAGGACTACTATAAAAGCCCCAACAATCATTCTCTCAGGGATCTTAATTAATATACCGACACTATGGCCAGTAAGGCATCATCTATCGTCATCGTCAATTAAGTACTGATATATAAGATTAATTAATAGTAAAAGATTGTACAAGCAGTGATTAATAAATGGGCAACTAAGTTACAACAACAAGTTATTTACCACCACACAACATTATTTATTACAACAGTACATAAAAGGAAAAATATTACCGTGCAGATACTTAATTTGACGATCTGAACGACAGCAAACAAATCGGTAGTTCAATTCACATTGATTAACATAGAAAGGAACAGGAAGTTGTAGACAAAATACCACACAGAAATTTCTGCGCATGAAATCTCTTTCACATCAGCTTGACCTAAAGCGTACCTTACAAATAATTCTCTTATCAATAATCCAAAATTTTCAATTTATTGCCCATATAACAGCTGCCGATATAACTTCTGACCATCGACCCTTTTTTTATTACTCGATATTTTGATTCAACAAGTACGACTATAAAGGTAAATAAAGGTAAAACCAAGGCAAAATTTTGCCTCGGTTAATCGAGGGGCTCGGATAACCTAGACTCGGATAATCGCGAGTCTACTGTACTTAAAATTTAATTTTGTATTATTTCTGCGAACACGCAGAAATAATGCGTAATAAATTCTTCTGTAAATTCCTTCGCAACTTCTGGTTTCTATATTACTATAACTGTTTCTTCTGTATTTTGTATCGGTTCGATCTCGAAATTAATTTCGCCTAATATGTACTAATATTGACATATACTTTTCAAAATAATCTGTTCTTCTTTTTCCGCATGTGTGCGTACTTATTTTATTTAATATCGTTTCTTCTCTTGCATATAAATACACTAATTGTATATATTATATTCATTATTTATATTCATTCATACTATATTCATCCTCTACGATTTTGGTACTTCGCATATGTATATTTCTACATTTTTTAATATCTTATTTCCTTTTTCCTATTATATCTCTATATCTTATTGCTCATTTTCCTAACCATTTGATTTTGTTTTTGACCCGAATACTCAGTCTTGGTGAGACTCGGTTTGCTCCAAAAGACAAAATTGGTAGTCTATGAGCCTCGATATTATTTAGTACCTCTCTTACTGTTTGCTTGTGGGTTTTATGTTGTAATATAATTTCCTCTAAGTTCTTTATTGTGGCAAACTTCTTTTTTAATAATTTTCCATTTACTTCATTAAAAAAAAATCATAATTCCAAATTCGTTTTTCCATTTTAATCCATTATGTAGTTACTGTATTGTCGTGCTGGAGCCGCAGGACTCTTAGCGGGTTGGGATTCAAGTACCACCCTAGCTTATCCTCTTAGCAGCCTCCTGCTCGACGTAGATTCCAACCATTAAGGTCGAACCATATCCAGTTTGTCTACATTTCTGTTAAAAAATCTACTTCTGTCACTGTATTCGTATTCGCGTGCGGTGCGTAATATGCTCTCGCTGTGTCTCTATTTCTGTGGCAACTCACCTGTGTCCATTGATTATTCTTTTTTTTTTCGTTGTGATTGCCAATCTCCTCTGTTTCTATTACGATATATCCTCGTATCATGTCTTTCATATTCACTTATATTTGTATAATTTTTGTTTCTATATTCTTTTCTTTCTTCGAATTTATTTTTATAATATCCGTATATTGCATTCTTACTTACTTTTCTTCTATCAAAATCGTATCTCTTCCTGTAATTTAACACTCTTCCTTGTGTGCTATCTTCTATCTCGTCGATTGATAAAAATTTGTACATTACCTCTTGTGGGGTTGTAAAGTTGCCTGCCTCTAGTATTATCTTGGCTTTGTCTGTGCTGGCATTATATTTCATTGTAGCTACTACTGCCTCTGTTGTGTATCTTTTCGCTAGTTCCAATGGCATTCCTTCCTCTACGTATGCAACTTTTAGCTGTTCCGCTAATTCTTCAACTTCAGATGCATAGACCTCTGCATCTTTATGTCCTTGTCTTTTCTTCGCCAATTTAGCTATTATCGTCTTCGGACTGTCGCCTCTCAGTTCTCTCTTTAGTGCTTCTGCTATTTTTGCGATTGTATCTTCTGTAGTTATAACGTTTCTGGCCTTATTAGTTAATCTTGTCTTTATTAATGTTATTGCTGTTTCCTCGTGTCCTATCGCTATTTTCTCAAGTAGTTCTAGTGCATCTAAAAATGACTGCAGTTTACCTGCTTTTCCATCAAACGCGCTGGGTAACACCTTGCTTGCGATATTTAAAAATTCGTTGATTGTAAGAGCCATACTTATTTCTTGCTCTATGTCGCTATGTTCTTCCTTCTTTATATGTTGTTTCTTTGTCATAGGTAAAGAAACTG